AGCTCGGACCTTCCGCTGTTTGCTTCGTAACGTTCAGTTTAGTTTTATTGTGGTTTTTATATAACATTACAGTCTGTGGGATTTACCAATAACGTTTCTCCACCTCAGTCGCTGTAACTAACGTGACCCGCAACCGGCGAAAACGGCCACAACAACCCAGAGGAAGAGCCGTCCACTATCACCAGTTACAGTAAAGTTACTTACTGCGGTCTAACTGTATAAAGTGTGACACAATCTCGGTTTAATGTCCAGTCCAGCTCATTAACCGTTTCGTTATCATCCGATACGTGTAACTTAGCTGTGCTGACATTGCTGAGCCTCCGGTGACAGATTCACAGATAGTAAAGATAGTTACTGAAAGCAGCAGGCGAGCTAACGATGTAGCACGTCAGCTAAATGCAGTAAATGTACCGTGATCATGTAACGAGCATGAATTAGTTCAACCTGCAGCTGATAAAACTATTACTGTAACGTTGCAGTGGAGTTTACCTGAGTTTCCAGCTCTGTCTGTTCTCCCTGTCTCTCTATAGCCGCTGTCACTCTGCCTTTTTTCGGGAGTATTGTGCCGATATGCGGCTCGCTGCGCTGAATGAAGTAACGTTACGGAGCCGGTGTTGATCTGCCTCTGAGATGGGAACGTTGAAGTAACAGAGCCTGAACATGTCTGGAGAAAAGCCACAGCCTGCATGCTGGTGTTCCTGCGTTTATTGTGGTATTTCTGTATGAAACTGGTTGTGTTGCGGATTCTGCTCGTTCATGAGTTCTAGCGAGCACGCGTACGAGCACACGCGTGGTTGCAATCTTAGAACCGCACCGCTAGTGGCCGCTGGAAACTCCATAATGCCCCTTTAATGCTCAAAGTTTCCTGGGGGAGGACCCCCAAACCCCTGGTCATATATCTCAGCTTTGAAGAGTTCTTCAAAACACTGTTTAAAGATCTGTTTAAAGATGGGTTCTAAGTAAAAGTAATTTCAAAATTATTTCCTAGAAAGGTTCATGGAAAGAACTATATGACATGCTAATAGGGAACATGAGCATTTCCTAAAAATAGAATTATTTAAATTGAACTGAATTGTCATTCATTATTCATTTATCATTTGAAACTTAACTGAGTGTGTACTGAAGTGTACGTTTGCCTGTAGATATATTTCAGATTTTTTAATGTTAAGTGTACCTGCTGTGTACTTACTGTACCACATAGAAAAGCAAAACAACAGTAATAGTGGTAGTGGTACAGATATCAATAAAAAATAATACTAGTACTTCTAATGATAACAATATTGATGATGACAATAATAATAGTACTAATAATAAAAATTGTGTTTGTAGTACTAATTTACATTGTTTTATTCAGGAGACTTCCTTGGAAAATACTTTAAATTATTTAAAATTTATCCTCCAGAGGTCAACTGATAAAAAAAAAGGCCTTTGAGTGTCTGACTGTGCCTGCCTGTGTCTCTGACTCTGTACCAGCCTGCGACTGCTCTGCTCCTCTGCATATCCAGGCCAGTGAAGGAAGCCACATGCGCCACAAAGAGTCATTTATTAGGTCAGGTTTTTTGGTAAAAGAATAACAAATCTGTCTGCAAATGAATAGAATTCTATGAAATATCTATCATATAAACATAATTTCCCCGCTACTTATAGTATGTCTGGCAAAATATGTTTATTTTTATATAACATTTACACATTTCGTACAAAACTTCTTTAAAAAAATAAGTTAACTATGAATTATTGTAATGCATTATTATTACCTCAAAAGTAGTATAAGTCAAGAATCACAGTGTGCTTCAAGACAACAGCAGGTGGAGCTAAAATAAAAAATGTGTGCCAGGTTGTGGCTCAGCAGTGATGCCGATATTGTTCCAGGATGATGATTACAGCGATTAGTCATTACAGATTATTCGGCACTGATCTCTCACTCAGTGGTCAAACAAATTGGACTTCTTATCTTTAAGATCATATAAAATGACCCTCCACAGAGTACAGTCACATTTAGCTGAGTAGATGGGAAATCTAATCCGACATCTGGCAAGTGTTGGCAGCTGGTTGTGATGTGGATGTCTGATTCTGACTTGGTGAAAAACAGCCCGGATGTGGCCATCTCATCAGCACTGCAAATGATGAGCAACACCCAGATTGATTTATTCATTCCTGCCAATTAGGGAACAATGATGAGCAGATGTGCGCACCATGACAGTGCAAAACCTCTGCTGGACTGACTGTGCCGCCTGTGGAAGCAAAACTTGCATAAATAGTTAATTATGAAAGACATCACAGGTAGACCAAACTAAATGAGAGCAAGCAGAGTCCCCTATGCATGTGTTCCAAACACTTATGCAAATACATACACGTTACTGACTACCTCAATGCCTCAGGAGTTGTTTATTCATTATTTCCCAACTGCTTCACATTACACCACATCATCATTCTTCATCTCTCTTACTCTATGTTAAGTAATAACAAAGGATCACGACACGAGCGGCCAGGCTGTGTGCAGACGCCTGAAGCAGTCTATGTAATTTGACACACGCCTTCTCTGGTCTAACTATACCTGAGTAACTATTGAGTACATTTAATTCGCAAATGACTAACCCTCCCTACTACATGCCCAACACTTACTAAACTAATCCTGAATTTCCTACCCCAGTGTGTGTGTGGGTGAGATAAGTGCTTTTCATGCTCACAGGAAATTAATTATCATAGAAACCAGTTTGTTGTTGGTTTGTGGCTTTGGTCAACATTTCAGCGACAGTTTATTTTCCACACAGTGACCTCATGTGTGGGTATCTGATGTGCTGTTAAACCACCGCCTAATGTTTGTGGGTGTGATTCTACCCGGTGTATTCATTACAAATCTGAGAGGGAGGCCCATGCTGAATAATTTATATTCCACTGAGCCAATTCTCAACACACTGTGCTGGTTGCCAGGGGTATCTGGGGCCCTCAGCTGTTGGTTATAGACAGGAAGCCCCAACTGTCAGTATCACCACAGCCAACCAGTGTGACAACAAACCAAACCATTAGAACATCTTTATACCTTTGTCTTTTACCTCACCACAACAACCAGATGTCAGGCCACAAGCATAAACATCTGTAGGATTTGTAATAAGGCCACTGCCCAAATTAACATCAGCATTTATATCATATAAAAACATTATTATGAATAATACATTGCCACAAAAATGCATTCCTCCAAAATCACTGAGAAGTGTCTACTAAGAAGTCAGAAAGTTAAGTGGGTTTGCAATCTTATAATCCTCTACTTTTCTCATACACTTTGTCCACTCTGTCTTTCTTTGGTATTCTTCAGGGGTCAACTATTACACTATATACCCCAGTGGCTGCTTTGTTCTCAAAGTACAAGTTTAGCTTTTTTTTTCTTCCTTGCAAAGTACAAGGGTAGTGTGAGTGAGAACAGAGTGCCAGCAGCCAGCAGCCCAGGACCGGTTGAAACCTGTCTGGGTTGCAACTGAGGAGATACTTCCTCCTCCCAGTGCATCATCTACCAAATCCAGAAAGAGCTGGAAATAATACATGAGTTCAGCACTCAGGGTCCTATTGACTGTTGAGTTTGTCAATACCAATAAGAAAGAAAGAAAGATAGATAGAATGTTGCCTTATCTGTGCACCTGTTAACAGTTTACCCGTAACAACACAATGCAGCATGTCAAACATGTGTCATGTGCAAAAGGGCACATATGGGAAGTCTTAATTAGTCAGCTAAGTTCTTTCAGCTAACACCATGAAGCATTGTGTGGTGTCTTGGACTGAAACAAAGAAGTGGAAGCTGGTGTTGTGTTCAAGTCACTTTGGGAACACAGTAGACATGAGAGCTCAGGTTATTGGTCTGTAATACGACTCATTTGTTTCACTTTCTGAATTTGTACTGAATATATTATAGGCCAGGCGTTTTAATTCTCTAAGACTTGCAACATAGGCTACCTGCTAAAATGTTTGTTTTCTACATTTGTGACCCTTGTACTCCTTAGTTTTTTAAGTTCCCTACACACAAACCTTGGTGGAAAGTTACAGCAGCAGTGGGTCTAAACAAATATTTTAAAGCTGGGGGGCAGGTAACGTTGGAGTGGAGAAACTAGCAAGAGACAGCTACATTTTGAAAGGCCAATGAAAAGAATTTCCACCCCCTCTGTACAAGCCTCCCTCCAAAGCCATTCCCCTAAAATACATTTTGTGCAGTTAGGCAGGCAGACAGCCAGGTAGGCCCTAAACAAGGTGTCTCGACGAGGACACTGGAGTCTTGCATTAACCTGTCCTGTCTGTTGATGTTGTAGTATGTTGTTTGTGGTGTACATTTGCTGGAAAATGATATGTGTGGAGGATAATATTGAATGTTGATTGGTAGTGTACAGTGTTGTGAAAAAGAATTTCCCTCTGGGACAATAAAGCCTAATCTAATCTAATCTATATTAATATTTTAATAAAGGGCACTGAACATGCCTCACATTTCTATGGTACAGATTAATTCAGGTGGGGTGGAGCCTACAAACTTGTACTTGTTTGGCTTACCTTGTTATTCAAATCCTAACCAATTCTTGCCTAAACCTAACCAACCCAACCAACAAATACAACAAGTACTAGCCAGTCAGAGGCAGATCAGGGCGAGTCATGCGTTTGCCATCCTGGGAACAAAAATGTGGCCCCCAGGGGGCAAACGTGGTAGGCTATCCAGGGTAACCCGTCTATCGACCTGTCCGGGCAAATACAGGTAAAAACATAACACTTAAATTATCCCTCTAAGCACAGACCGCTGGGGTCACAATAAGACCAACGTTAAGATCAATGTAAACTTTCGGTTCTTTCTCAGCCCAGCCCTTGCGTGTCGCTCTGTCTGTACCACTTTGTCCCACACGCTTTGAACGCAGCATCAGATAAGCTCGCAGGCGGTGTCTTCGGGAAGTTGCCGTAATGTCATCAACCAATGAGAAGCACACATAACAACATGCATAACGCCCATAACAGCCCTCTGTGCGGCTCCATATTGGTTGTGTCTTTTCGCAGAAATACATTGCACTGGAGGTTTGTCTGCGCATATTTCTAACGCACGGCCAGGCAGCCGGCGCACCGCGGGCTCAGGTATGAGTGATGCAGCCGACAAAACGTGCTGTCAAGAACAAATGTTCTCCAAGCTTTGTTTTACAGACCAGCGTCATTACCACAGTTTTAAACCTGGCAAAGAAATTAGGTTAGAGGCGCACCTGAGGAGCAGAGCGAAAAGTGGCATGCAGGCTGAGGAAGAAATAATTGGATTGAGATAACGTCATACAGGCAGTAAGTATATTTGCCCTCACTATGTTTTAACGATATAGCCTACTTTAAAATGTATGTAGACCATACTAATAATAAATATGATATTAGACTGCATCGTCCCGGGTGGTCGAGGAAATAAGAAACCGGTTACCTGGTGTGTATGTTTAACGCCGGGACACTTGCTGATTCTCAATTTCACATGTTTCAACAAGTCACCTGACAGCAGCACACCAACAGATATCTTAACTGCGCAAGAACTCCCCACGCGGGGAAAAACGTTTCACCATGAACCCACAAAAATATCCTATTTCCTCTTGTGGCTGAGAAGTGTGGTTATAAAATGCATTATAAGCATGCATACAGGCGGTTTTCCACATGGCCAGTCTGTGACCTATTTCCATGCTGCCTGGGGCTCATAACACCATGGTGGCCATTTTTAAACGTATGATTTATCTTAATTAACTTACACTTAACTATCACATGGCAGGTGCGTCTTAATGTAGTCTATCTCAGTGTGCGAACTCTATGGGCTACTTCCGTGTCTTTTGTCTTTTTTGTTAGTAATAAAGGGTGTTTGGCTAAAACTTGCGAAAGGGACTTGGTAGAGTGAGACTAAGAAAGTTCGTTTTTTTCCTGATCCTTGAGACAATCCTTGAGAGTGCCATGCATGCTTGGATCTTGGTGAATTGAACTGAAGTGATAAATCAATCATCAATAATAACCTATTTTTACCATAGACTCATTTTTATGCATGACCCATGACGATCAAGATACAAAAAATAGAAATGCATGGGAAAAAATAGTTTATAATATTTTAGAGACTCCCAAAATTTAAAAAATCATGTTTTTATGGGAGCCCAGTGCTCATTAGGAGGAGCCAAGCTGTTAGCACCTTGTCTGTCTGTACAGGGCAGCAAGAGAGGGACTGTCAGGACTGTTCAGACTGTTGAAAATTGGCCTTTCAGGTGTCCCAGTGAGCCGTGACAGTGAGGCAGTATGCACAATGGCAGGACCCTGAAACTGAAGCAGCTAAATGAAATTCAGCCGTCATCTATTGAATTATTCACATTGACATGTCAAGTGTGTGTCAAGTGTTTTCCGTGAAATAGCCAGTGATTGAATATTATAGCGCCATGAGAAAACACCAATATAACTGACATGCTCACACCATGTCAGATTGCTTTCAAGTCACATTGAGAGAGTAAGTATTGGTATTACCCAGTAATAAAGCCTGGCAGATATTGTGTTTTAGAAGTGTATGCTGTTATTTGAGAATTCAAAAATAAGATTTTTAGGATGAAGAAGGCAGAAGGAGAAGATCTACCTAATTTGGTTATTAAAGACTGAGTGAGACACGCCCACTGATTCATTGGTCAGGTTCTTGTGAAGACCCACTGAAACTTACAAAAATTTGCGCCACACCATTACTTCACATGCAATACTCTTGGGCAAGAAATTTGCCCTATCAACAGTAGAAAAGCTGCTTTGACTTTGATTTTTGAAGGGGCGGTTTAATTGCAAAGTCCAAAATGAACCCAAAGAAAGACCAACTTCTGCTGCTGAGGTCACGTGATTTCCTGTTAACTGCGGAGGTTCGCCATTTTACGTCTGCAGCTAGGTCCTCGTTTCAATCTGTTGCTGCTGCTCTTAAATGTACCATAATGTGGAAAACAGCTGAGGCCTCTAGAAAATTCTGATAAAATGGGAAAAGGTTTGCCCAAATGGGCAAATTATCTACCACATAAAAAAAACACTAAGACCTCGACATAAAAAAAGTCATAAAGTCAAATATATATTTTCTTCTTATAAATGCTCAAATTCTACCTTTCTTAATTTCAAAACACACCTTCCTCTTTGCTGAAACAAATGAAAGATGATACAAGCAATCCACACAACACAGATAGTGTCACATCCACTGAATAAGAAAACACGGTGCTTCACTAAATGAAACGTGTGCCAAACATCTTAAAAGAGTTGGTAGACTTATGCCCACGTCAAAGGACTTTGCCCTGTTCCAACAGCAACATGTTGTAATAAGTCTGGATTTAGCACAACCCTGGCTCTGTGCTTAAACATCATTAAAACATTACTGATTGATAAAATGATGGCTTCACAACAGTACATGTTCACACAGAGTACAGCTGGGGGTTACGTGTGTTACTCTAGCAGCTTTAGCAGGGAGTACGACGTGGCTCTCCACTTTTGGCAACCTGCTTTGGATTTGACCCAGAAAGCTTTAACTTCCTGGTCTAGGTTTGTGCTCTTGAAACTCATGTTGAATGTTATTTTTACATTTTCCTTTTTTCCCTCTGAAAGATTACTCAAGATGGAAGGGCACAGTGTTAAAAGCAGTCATACACTGACTTTGGTAAACTAAACATAATTTGTAGGGCAGCAATAAGCGATAGTTTCATTGTAGATTAATTTTGTTTATTATTTTCTCAATGTATTGTTTGTTCTATCATCGCAGGTTTTGAAGGCGATGTCTTCAGATGTCATGTTTTATCTGATCAGTCCAAAATCCAAAGACATTCGGTTTACAATGATGTAAAACAGAGAAAGCCTAGCTCCTCACATTGGTGAAACCAGGACAAGAGAATACAGTATTTGGAATATTTGCTTAAAAATTATTTAAGCAAACAATGAATTGTTTATCAGAATACTTGACACTTAGTTTTCTGTTGATCAGCTAATCAATTAATTGACTGTTTCATCTATAAATTACTTAGTCAAACCTTTTCATACATTTATAGTGTAACAGTAGTTAATTCTAAAACTACTTAGAGTAGTAGATAAACTGGCTCTCCCCTGTTTGTTGCAGCAATGTTCACACTCACGGAGGTCGCATCCTTGAATGACATCCAACCGACGTACCGCATCCTAAAACCATGGTGGGACGTCTTCATGGACTACCTGGGACTGGTCATGCTCATGCTGGCCATATTCGCCATGACTATGCAGATCACCAAAGACCAGGTGTCTTGCCTTCCGTGTCTGGAGGACCCAGAGGAGACCTCAGGAACTACACCTAACTCGTTCCCGCAGCAGAAAGCACAGGAAGCAGCCTCATCAGCCACCACAAGGGCCCCTGTGGGAACCACCATGCCCCTAGTCTCTAAGGACTTACCGGACGAAATTGTCAATGAAATCCACGTCGCACAACAACACACTCCTGTGGTGGCAAAGAAATATTCCAATCAACCTCAACCTACAGGGGTCCAGACCAACCTAGACTATCAACAATATATCTTCATCAACCAAATATGTTACCATGAAGCCTTGCCCTGGTATTCCAAGTACTTTCCATACCTCACCCTCATCCACACCATTGTTCTCATGGTCAGTAGCAATTTCTGGTTCAAATACCCCAAAACGAGCTCAAAGATTGAGCATTTTGTTTCTATTCTGGGTAGATGTTTTGAGTCTCCCTGGACTACAAAGGCCTTGTCTGAAACAGCTTGTGAGGACTCTGAAGAGAATAAACAGAGGCTGACCGGCACCTCCTCAGCACCAAAGCAGGTATCGTTAGAGGGTAAGGATGAAAGCCCAAGCCCATCCACTCCCATGCTCGGGGTGAAGTTCTCTGCAGATAAGCCCATCGCAGAGGTCCCAAGTAGTATGACAATCCTGGACAAAAAAGATGGGGAGCAGGCCAAAGCCCTGTTTGAGAAAGTAAGAAAATTCAGAGCTCACGTGGAGGACAGTGATTTCATCTACAAGCTTTATGTAGCGCAGACCATTGTCAAAACTGTCAAGTTTATTTTGATATTGTCCTACACTTCAACTTTTATTGCTAAAATAAATTTTAGGCATCATTGTGAACCTAATATTAAACAGCTAATAGGATACAGGAAGTTTTTCTGTACACACAACATGGCTTTCATGCTAAACAAGCTGCTTATTAGTTACATGGCTTTGATTTTGATCTACGGGATGGCGTGCCTGTACTCTCTCTTCTGGGTGTTTCGACGACCCCTGAAAGAGTACTCATTCGAGAAGGTCCGGGAAGAGAGCAGCTTTAGCGACATTCCTGATGTCAAAAATGACTTTGCATTTCTCTTACACATGGTTGACCAGTATGACCAGCTTTACTCCAAACGCTTTGGTGTCTTTTTGTCTGAGGTTAGTGAAAACAAGCTGAGGGAGATCAGCCTCAATCACGAGTGGACCTTTGAAAAACTAAGGCAGCTTGTGACCCGTAACGCACAGGACCAACTGGAGCTGCACCTGTTCATGCTTTCTGGTCTCCCGAATGCAGTGTTTGACCTCACGGACTTGGAAGTGCTGAAACTGGAGCTGATTCCTGAAGTGAGGTTCTCAGCAAAGGTCTCCCAAATGACCAGCCTTCAGGAGTTGCATCTCTGCCACTGCCCGGCCAAAGTAGAGCAGACAGGTTTCGCTTTCCTCCGTGACCATCTTCGGTGCCTTCATGTCAAGTTCACTGATGTTGCCGAGATCCCAACATGGGTGTATTTGCTGAGGAGTTTGAGGGAGCTTAACTTAATCGGCAACTTGAGCTCAGAAAATAACAAAATGATTGGCCTAGAGTCCATGCGAGACTTGAGGCATTTAAAGACATTATGCTTGAAGAGCAACCTCACCAAAATGCCCACAAACATCACAGAGCTATCACCACATCTGCTTAAGTTAGTGGTGCACAATGATGGTATAAAACTGCTAGTACTAAATAGTCTTAAAAAAATGACAAGTCTAATTGATCTGGAGCTGCACAGCTGTGAACTGGAGAGGATTCCCCATGCTATTTTCAGCTTGATAAACTTACAGGAACTTGACCTGAAGTCTAACAACATCCGAACCATAGAGGAGATCATCAGCTTCCAGCACCTCAAGAGGCTGACGTGCCTCAAACTGTGGCACAACAAAATTATCACCATCCCATCCTCCATCGGCCACGTCAAGTCTCTGGAGTCTCTCCACCTCTCTCACAATAAACTTGAGTCCCTGCCTCCAGCCTTGTTCACTCTACCTAAACTGCGGTACTTGGACGTGGGACACAACTCCATTACAGTGCTGCCTCCAGATGTGGGGATCCTCCACAACCTCCAGCATTTAGCCATCAACTCCAACAAGCTGGAGGTGCTGCCCAAGCCTCTGTTCAGATGCACCAAGCTCAAGGTGTGTGTCTGGGGAACAATGCGCTCACAGTGCTGCCAGAGGCTGTGGGTCAACTGGTCCAGCTCACTCACCTGGAGCTGAGAGGAAACTGTCTGGACAGACTGCCCGCCCAGCTAGGCATGTGCCGCCTGCTGCGCAAAAATGGCCTGGTTGTAGAAGACCATCTCTTTGACACACTCCCTGTGGAAGCTAAGGAGAGTATCGGCCAAGAGACCAACGTGTCCTTTACCAGTGGCTTATAGCACAAAAAACACTTCTCAGACAGGCGGGCACCTCTGGTGGTTCATGACAAGCCTGTGTAATGGATGTAAGAGTAGACTGTTTATAATTGTGGTATACCTAAAAATGAATGCATTTTCTTGATTATTTTAATGGCTTGTCTTAGTTGCTTATGTATTAAAACGGTACGGCTTTTCTTTGTTGCTGAGTATACTATGTATCTAATTCAGCAACCTTTGGGGATTTAGCTTTCCATAGCTTTGAGTGACAAAACATTAGAAATTTAGCTTCCTTATGTAACACTCTAGACCAAAACTGTTTCCTCCAATGACACAGTATGTAAATTTGTCATTATTGTTTTAGGTACTCAGGTATAAGTGTAACCATTGGGAACAATCTTTTTGCCTTAACTGCTGCTATTGCGTTTGTTTTTTTTACAGTGAGGGCTTTCACAAGCAAACGGCCAAATATGAATATTTCATGTTTTCGTGTCAGTTTTTCATATAGACTCTATTCACAGAGCAAATTCTACATGTTATAGAAGAGGACAAAATGCAACACCTCTTTTTTGGTAGTTCTTAACTTTTGTTGAAATTATTTAAAGTGGACCTATTATGCTTTTCCTTAGTGCTCATAAATGATTATAATGTTGGATGTTCATATTAAATCTGGCCAAAGTTTCAAATAATGAGGTAAAGAAATAAAAAAGGAATCCCTGTGAGTAAAAATCTCAGGTTTTAGACTTCTCTGAATACTAGATCTCCAATATTTTCTTCTACTTTTGGGCCGGGCTGATGTCATGTTGGTGGCTGTGTCCTTACGGTCATCTGCTACTCGACCGCTCGTGTCACAGCAGCTTTTCCAGTACTGCAGTTAGTGGCTACTTTAATGCTATCTGTACATTTAGAAACTCTGTAAAATATTTAAGATTAATATTTGTTTAATAATCCTTGTCTCATTTGTGGGCTGATAAACGGTAAATTTATCAAATTCAGTGCCCTATATTGCTGTTTTCCAAGATAAGTTACTGTAGCTTTCATATGCAAGAGGATGAGGCCTTGCGGGCGGTGCTCATCTCACAACACTTGGCGCTGCCCCCCCAGCAGGTTTCCAGAAGTTGGCAGATGAGAAAGTGGGCTTTTAGGGAGGAGGCCCTTAAAGAGACAGGAGCCAAAACGGCTTGTTTCAGACAGAAGATAAACTGAGGGACAACATAAAAGGGCCAGTATAAGATAAATGAGGATTTTTTTGAACTGTGAATCGTGCAAAGCTACTGTAGTGGAATCCTAGAGTAAAAATATAGAGCTGGAAATCAGCATAATGGGTCCCCTTTGACCTTTTATTTTCCTCAATGTCTTGTAGCTGACTGAATGAGTTTAGAGTTGTGAAACTCTAAAGACTACGCACCAGAAATGAACCTTCACCTTGATGTTATAGAGATTATATACTAAGGCCTATAGTAATAAATTGCACATGCACTAAACTTAGTGATTGATTTAAGGCTTGATGAATGTCTTTTGTGATAACATGTCCTAAAACTAACGTGATCTGTTAAAAGGGAAATCTGTTAACTATATTTTTTAATCATGCTTTACAATTTGAAATGTGTTATAAAACTGGTTACATGTAGGAGTGATTATTCTACATGTCAGAATCATGTAATGACGACAAACATGTCTGCCTTCATTCTTCTCAATGCATTTCTGTGTAGGCCTATATATATGTGTGTGTGTGTGTGTGTGTGTTCTTCAGAGCTTCTGTACCACCCTGGTGATTCTATGCTCAAAGTTCACAACTTTATGGCACAATAAAACAGGATTTTAGATGAATGTCTAATTGTTATTCATCTACTTCAGGCATACTCTACTAAACATTACTGTAGTCTGAATGGCACAAAAAAATGGACACAAATGCATCTTTTTGGAGTTCTTAAAACTTAGTATCAGATTTCTAGAATGTCTTTAAGTGAATTCTCTGAAAACCAACAATGATGCCTCAATGAAAAATCTCTTCTTTTTTATTTATTTAAAGTATATAGAGCTACATTTGATTTTGGGGAGTTTAGGCTTTATTCTTTAATTTAAACATCAAAACATTTGCATTCAAAGTGGTAACTTTGTCTTTCACGCCTCCAACTGGCAGCAAAAAATAAAACCCAAACAAAAATGCCATGCCTTCCACCTACACACATTAGCTGCATCAAGAACAACAGTTAAACTGTGTTAATTTTTGAGGTTTGACACAGAACACATAGCTTAGACATAGGTCTGCTATAGGCTATAAACAAGTGACACGAGAGAAAGTCTGGCTTTTTCATGGATTTATTTGATGAGAGTCCCCAGTTTTCTTTTTGTTCATGTCAAAGTCTCTCTGTATTGCACTTAACATGTAATTTTGTTGTCTTTCTAACCTGACTCTTGATAGTCTTGCTAACATCAGAACACTTTTGCCATTATCGTTCCCAAGTGAATCAGATTCACAGGCCTTATTTCCAGCTGAGATTTGGACTCGTCATAGCAGGAAATACACAGGCTGAACTAATGACATTAACAATGCCTCCATCTCAGCAATCATTACAATGCAGCAATTAATTATCTTATAAGTTTAACCTGTGTTTGATAAGTCAAAATGCCTGTTGTGAAAAAGGTATACTCAACCAAAGTTTTATAGAGAGATCCCTGAGCCTAGGATCTTTTGTTAGTGTTATTTAGAGGCAGAGAGTGGACAAAGTTTCACTGACCTCAGGGATTCATGGGGAATAGGATGACCCCAACCTGCTAATTCTAAAATCAAACATTTAAAAGTTGTAGAAACTCCACAGAACACAACACAGTCCACAGAATGTGTTTCCAGCTCACTGGCTGTAAAGAAGCTGTAAACTTTGTCCTGACATTAATTCAGGTTTATGAGGCTTAACCCACATAATCCGAAATCTTTTTCACCAGATGTCTAATGTTAACATGATAAAGATCCTGCGTTTAGTCATCCATATGATCCCACAGAAGATATTTCTGCCAGGATTATGATTCCTGTCAGACCATTCAAGATGTTTTCCAGTCCATTTGCATTTGGAACTTTTCCTGATGTACATTTTCCTTGAGATATCCTATCCTGGTTTTAAATGTGTTGGCACCTACTGCTGCTCATTCTTTCCTGCAACAGTGTGTTTATGATCATTCACTTTAGACTAATTCACATTTCAGTTAATGCTCTTTACTGCACTGTAAAAAACAAACAAACTGTACTTTGACAGTTTTATTCCTTTTTATTTCACAGATTGTGTGAATTTTACATGTCTAATGTAAAATAACATGAAAAACCTGTAGCTGTGAATAACCATAACATTTCTGTTATCCAAAGGAAACTTTTTGGGTTTTTCACGTAAACAAACTGTTACAATACATTCAGGAATTTCCCGTATTTTCATAAATATTATTTTTCTTATTTAAAAGAAAAGAGGGTTAAATTTAAGTTTGATACTGTAACAACATTTCTTAAACTTGGTACAATTAGTAACAGTTAACTGTAACAAAAAACATTTGTTCTGTAACTTGACATAGATTTTCTTGTTAACTGATAAATATCTCCTTTAGTTATGGATATTTGGAAAATAAAAACATTGAATAAGTGTTATATTAATCAGTATATAGTGTCTACAAGTCTTGTTAAACTGTCGAAACACAGTTTTGATCATTGAAAACAGCCATAATTACTGTGATTTCACAGCTTTTGACTTTTATTATAATTCTTAGATTACAAGTTAGATTAACATAGTATATAATTGCCCCAAATCGCCCGATGTCAGCTGGGATTGGCTCCAGCCCCCCGCGACCCTGTACGCAGGATAAGCGGTTGATGATGGATGGATGGATAATTGCCCCAAAGTGATAAAATTACAGAAAGGTAATATTTAATTTATTGTTAAATTACAGGTGTTCACACCTTTTAATGGGGTTAAAACAGAAAACTTCCTGTAAAATTACGGGTTTGTGATGAAAAATTTATTTTAATGCCATTTTACAGATACTTTGATTGAGAGTTTTAGGTGTATAATCAAATGACCTAAAACAAACATATTTAAATCCTGTTTTTTCATTTTAATAATTCAAAAATCACCACATTTACATTTTACATTAGAGTAATATATATCCTTTTATCCTATAATAGAGACCAGAAACCCATTGTGAGTTATCTTGTACTGGGGTTATTTGTGACAGTTCCAGTTCCTTAAATTTACTTAACATTTACATTTATTAATTTAGCTGACGCATTTATCCAAAGCGACTTACAACTGAGGTTGCACGCCTCTGGACCAACTAGGGGTTGAGTGTCTTCCTCAGGGGCACAATGGTGGATGGGTCATAGTGGGAGAATCACCACCCACAGACCTTTTAAAGTACCACCACAATACAAATTCCCACATCTGATACAATTTATAGACCATTTATTCAGTTCCATGCTCACAACAAATAAGCCACACAAGTCTACCATTTCAGTGTAAAGAATTGTTCTCCTGAAACAAAAGTACTTTAGTTTTTATTTACCTTATTGACGACATTTTCATATCTATTCATTAGAAACCCAATTGGGTCAACATAAAGAATATTTTGGATACTGTTAGACATAGCTGCAAGATTTAAGTGCAATCTGAATGTAAAGTAATTGGAAAGTATTTCTTAATGCTGGCATTTTGCTTTGATAGGACTGTACAGAGACATGAAAGGCAAAGGAGAGGGGAAAATGGTGGTATTACATACAGTGAACCTAATGCACAATCCAAAGACTTCTTCCCTGGTTTCAATATGATATTTTGTGACTTTCTAAAGCCAGTTTTTGTATCTGGTATATTGTTGTTACGGCTGTATGTGTTTCTCTGTGCTGTGCATCCTTGTTCCTTTTCTGTCCTCTAGTTCTGCCCCATGAGTGTCACACTCTGCCTGTCAGCCTTGCCATGTTTTGCACTTTTGAGTTTGGTCAGTTTATTATCTGTTAGTTTGGTCTGTTGGGTATTGGAGTTCTGTCTTGTCTAATGTTCAGTAATCTGTGTCATGTCTATTACCCCAGTGATTCCTCTGCATGTCAGTCTCTGTACCCCCCCCCCCCGCAAAAAAGATGCAAATATATGCAAGTAGAAAGACAAGTGCGAATTTGAAGTTTTTCTTGGCAGTCCAAATGAATGCATTTGTTTGCAAGTTTTTGGTATGCAAGTCAAAAGTACAGTACAACACCTCTGGATGACCTAAAGAAACAAACAACGGCAAACAAAATCAACAGTATATCTATCCAAGGTCTGCAAGACATAGCCCTCTCCACAGAATTGGGGAAGAATTCAAGTCTGATGGCTGCAAAAATGACAGAGCAGATAACCCCTCCCCCTCCACCACCAGCTCTTCCATTAAGTGTGCGCAATAAGCAAAAGGCAGATGATCTACACTAGCTTGCTGTTCCTTACATCCAAAAAGCTTGACAGCGTTTGATTTACAACATAACTGTATTGATAAATAGGACTGTGTGATCTGACGGTATACACTATATTGACAAAAGTATTGGGACACCCCTTCCGAATCATTGAATTCAGATGTTCTAATCACTTCCATGGCCACAGGTGTATAAAATCAAGCACCTAGGCATGTGGACTGCTTCTACAAACATTTGTGAAGAATGGGCCGCTCTCAGGAGCTCAGTGAATTCAAGGTTGGTACCTGTGCAATAAGTCCATTTGTGAAATTTCCTTACTACTAAATATTCCAAGGTCAACTGTTAGTGGTATTATAGCTAAGTGGAAGCGATTTGGAACAACAGAAACTCAGCCTTGAAGTGGTAGGCCACATAAAATCCCAGAGTGGGGTCGGCGCATCTGCAGACGCTGCCAACTTTCTGCAGAGTCCAGAGCTACAGACCTCCAAACGTCGTGTGGCCTTCAGATTAGCTCTAGAACAGTGCATAGAGAGCTTCATGGAATGGGTTTCCATGGCTGAGCAGCTGCATCCAAGCCTTACATCACCAAGTGCAATGCAAAGCGTCAGATTCATGGTGAAAAACACGCAGCCACTAAACACTAGTGCAGTGGAGATGTGTTCTCTGAAATGACGAATCACGCTTCTGTCTGGCGATCTGATGGATAAGTCTGGGTTTAGCGGTTGCCAAGAGAATGGTACTGGCCTGACTGCATTGTGCGTAAAGTGTGTAAAGTTTGGTGTGGTGGTGTTTTTTGATGGTGCCCCTTAATTCCAGTGAAAGGAACTGTTAATGCTTCAGCATACCAAAACATTTTGGACAATTTCATGCTCCCAGTTTTGTGGAAACAGTTTGGGAATGGTCCCTTCCTGTTCCAACATGACTGCGCACCAGTGCACAAAGCAAGGTCCATAAAGACATGGATGAGCAAGTTTGGTGTGGAGAACTTGACTGGTCTGCACAGTCCTGACCCCAACGATAGAACACCTTTGGGATGAATTAGAGCGGAGACTGCCAGTCAGGCCTTCTCATCCAAAATCTGTCCCTGACCTCACAAATGCGCTTCTAGAAGAATGGTCCAAAAGTCCAATGAACACACACACACAGCTGATTACCAGTTTTAGAACAGTATTTTGACGTTTTTTAAAAGGAAAATCTAGTATTTGCAGGTTGTATAATTTTTTTTTTTTTTTACAATATATACTGATTACATTAACAAGATTTCTATTTCAAATTATATAATAAAACTCAATTAAAAGCAGCACTCTACTATAAATTTTAAGCCTGATTATTTGTATTATAGCAGTTTTCAACTATATTTAAAACTAATTTAATTGTTTTTACAGGTGTATATGTTCTTAATTAAACAATA